CTTGACTTTTTCCACATTTTGTAACATTACAGCCTTACTCTAAAATGGATTCAATTATTTCCCCCCCTCATCAATCTACACACAATACCCCATAATGACAATGCAGAAACCGTTTTTTAGAAATGTTTGCAAATGTTTATAAAAAAAGATTACAGCCTCGAGTCTTCTTGGGTATGACGCTACAAGCTTGGCACAGCTGTATTTGGGGAGTTTCTCCCATTCTTCTCTGCAGATCCTCTCAAGCTCTGTCAGGTTGGATGGGGAGCGTCGCTGCACAGCTATTTTCAGGTCTCTCCAGACATGTTCGATTGGGTTCAAGTACGGGCTCTGGCTGGGCCACTCAAGGACATCCAGAGACTTATCCTGAAGCCACTCCTGCGTCGTCTTGGATGTGTGCTTAGGGTCGTAGTCCTGTTGGAAGGTGAACCTTCGCCCCAGTCTGAGGTCCTAAGTAGTCGCCCAGTCCCTGCCACTGAAAAACATCCCCACAGATTGATACTGCCACCACCATGCTTCGCCGTAGGGATGTTGCCAGGTTTCCTCCAGACGTGACGCTTGACATTCAGGCCAAAGAGTTCAATCTTGGTTTCATTAGACCAGAGCATCTTCTTTCTCACAGTTCTTTAGGTGCCTTTTGGCAAACTCCAAGTGGGCTGTCATGTGCCTTTTACTGAGAGGTGGCTACCGTCTGGCCACTATACCATAAAGGCCTGATTAGTGGAGTGCTGCAGAGATGGCTGTCCTTCTGGAAGGTTCTCCCATCTCCACAGAGGAACTCTGGAGCTCTGTCAGAGTGACCATTGTGTTCTTGGTCATCTACCTGACCAAGGCCCTTCTCCCCCAATTGCTCAGTTTGCCCGGGCAGCCAACTCTAGGAAGAGTCTTGGTGGTTCCAAACGTCTTCCATTTAAGAATGATGGAGGCCACCGTGTTCTTGGGGACCTTCAATGTTGCATAGTTTTTTTTGGTACCCTTCCCCAGATCTGTGCCTTGACACAATCCTGTTTCGGAGCTCTACGGACAATTCCTTCGACCTCATGGCCTGGTTTTTGCTCTGAGATGCACTGTCAACTGCGGGACCTTATATAGACAGGTGTGTGCTTTTCCAAATCATGTCCAATCAATTGAATTTACCACAGGAGGACTCCAATCAAGTTGTAGAAACATCTCAAGGATGATCAATGGAAACAGGATGCACCTGAGCTCAATTTCGAGTCTCTTAGCAAACGGTCTGAATACTTATGTAAATAAGGTATTTCTGTTTTTATTTGTAATAAATGTGCAACAATTCCTAAAAAAACAGTTTTTGTTTGCCATTATGGGGTATTGTGTGTAGGTTGATGAGGATTTTCTATTTATTTAATCCATTTTAGAATACGGCTGTAATGTAACAAAATGTGGAAAAAGCGAAGGGGCCTGAATACTTTCCTAATGCACTGTACCTATGCAAGAATGCTGTTCATCAACTACAGCTCAGCCTTCAACACCATAGTGCCCTCCAAGCTCATCACTAAGCTCAGGGCCCTGGGTCTGAACCTCTCCCTGTGCAACTGGGTCCTGGACTTCCTGACGGGCCGACCCCAGGTGGTGAAGGTAGGCAACATCACCTCCCCTATGCTGATCTTCAACACAGGGGCCCCACAAGGGTGCGTGCTCAGCCCCCTACTGTATTCCATGTTCACCCATGTCTTCGTGGCCACACACATCTCCAACTCAATCATCAAGTTTGCAGACGATTACCAACGACGACGAGACATCCTACAGGGAGGAGGTGAGGGCCCTGGCGGAGTGGTGCCAGGAAAATAACCTCTCCCTCAACGTCAACAAAACGAAGAAGCTGATTGTGGATTTCAGGAGACAGCCGAGAGAGCACACCCTCATCCACATCGACGGGGAGAGGGTGAAAAGCTTCAAGTTCCTCTGCGTGCACATCACTGACAACCTGAAATGGTAAATCCACACAACACCTCTTCAACCTCAGGAGGCTGAAGAAATTCAGCTTGGGCCCTAAGACCCTCACGAAATTCTACAGATGCACAATTGATAGCATCCTGTCGGGCTGTATCACCGCCTGGTATGGCAATTGCACCGTCCGCAACCGCAGGGCTCTCCAGAGAGTGATACGGTCAGTCCAACGTATCTTCAGGGGCACAATGCAGCACCCGGTGTCACAGGAAAGCCAAGAAGATCAGCCACCCAAGCCACGGCCTGTTCACCCCGCTAATATCTAGAAGGTGGAGACAGTACAGGTGCATCAGACTGTTAAATAGTCACCACTAGCCTGCCTCCGCCCAGTACCCTGCCATGAATTTAGTCACTGTAACTAGCCGGAAACCACCCGGTACTATACCGTGGGCCTTAGAAGCTGATGCCCTATGTCTATAGTCATTGAACACTAGTCACTTTAATAATGTTTACATACTGTTTTACCCACTTCATATGTACTGTATATACTGTATTCTAGTGAAGGACACACCTTTTCTATTCAGATATACTGTCCATACTGTGTATACACACCATCATATACATATTTATATATTTATATTCCGGACTCTGACATTGCTCGTTCTGATATTTCTTAATTTCTTTATTTTTTATTTTTTGGATTTGTGTGTATTGTTTTGTATTGTTAGGTATTACTGCACTGTTGGAGCTAGAAACATAAGCATTTTGCTGCACCTGCGATAACATCGGCAAAATATGTGTACGCAACCAATACAATTTGATTTGATTTCTTAAATCGCCAGATCGGAAAACAGTACCCCCCTATATTGTGGACTCGCTCCAGCCTCCAGTCTCAATGCAGCCATACAGTCACACAGAGGCAGGCTTATATTACGGAATAGACAGCTGGCACACTGCACCACTACCTACCATTTTTACAATACTTGGAGGCTTGAATCTCACTCAATGCTTTTTCTTGGCCCATAGTCAAGCCCTAAATGCCAGTCCAATCCCAGCTATCTGTCCAGAGTAGGGTTGCAAATTGAGGGTATATTATTGGAAACATTCTAAGTTTACCAGTAAACTACCAGAATTCTAGTAACTTTCAAGGAATATATGAAATTTTATCAGATAACATCTAGTGGCCTTTTTGGGTACTTCAGATAATCACAGGTGTCTGTAATTGTCTCTGGCCCTCTGTGTGGCCTTATCACACAATATATTTATAAAATCAAATAAGATGATTTTTCAAATAAAAAACAGAATGACAAAGCTGTAAAACATGATCCCAAATATAAACCATCAACTTGGTGAATACCATTGGTGTTTAATATGAGGGTTTCAGCATGAAATGTCCTTTATATATTTCTTAAACACTTTATTTATTTTATATGTATTTGTTGTAAATGTTTTGTTGTCAAACTGGTGGCAGTTGTGAAAAAATACAATAGTTGGAAGAGTTGCAGAGTTAATTGAAAATAATGCCATTGTTGATTAGATGCTTTTTTCATTAATTAGCTAGCTTTGCAACCCTAGTCCAGAGTTACAGTTAGCACTGTTAGGCCTGCCCTAGTTACCTTACTGCAAAAGCAGTGCGGTGCAGTTCAGCTCTTATTTTATGGAAGTGTGTCACTATACAAAGACAGTTTTAACATTCATAAAAAAAAAGTTAAGAACAAATTACTTTGTTAAAACAGTAAAGCAATCAAAGTATGCTCCAGAAAACACAAAATAACCGCCTCTCCTTTTTCAAACGTAACGTGTAACGTTATTAGAGCTTTTCTTTGTTACGAGGCTATTTGACTTTTCCTTATTTTGCCTGCGGACGACAGGATACGTTTTTTTTTTTTTTTAAACCACACACATGTTTTAATGGCTGTGGAAAAAGTGAGCTCACTCTCCACTCCAGAGAAGTGAAGGTTCTGACAGCGAGGAGAGGAGCAATGGGCTATGTCCCATAGACACACAGACAGACCATCATTCACTCCCTTACTCCATGAGGACAGAGACAGAGACATCTGTACTATCCTAATGATGATCATATGAGGTAGAATATAACTACTTCATACTGTTGGTGAATGAAGGGTTCATATAAATCTCTGCATATCTTATCAATGACTACATGTCTTATCCCTCTCCCTCTCAGGCTCAGACAAATGTGGTGTGAAGGAGCAGCCTCTAGTTTTCCACACACAGGTCAAGTCATCAGGATACACACAGTCTCCCCGGTAGGTTGTTTGTGTCTGTGTGTGTGTGTCCGTCCGTGCGTGCGTTTGTGTGTGTGTGTGTGAGTGTGTATGTGAGAGGGGAGTCCCAACGGTTGAGGAATTCTTCCACCAGCAAGACTTTCGGTCCTTTTCAACCCATTGGAATAGCACGTTACATCATAGAGACAAGGAAATAAGTCACAGAGAAAATACACACAAAACCTTACAAGGGTGACTTGTAATATTAAAATAGCCTTCATATTAGATGGATTATGTTTTTGTTACATTTCTTTCTGTCTTTTTACATAGGTGTTAACTAAGACAAGTGTTATTTTCGTACATGTTAACAGATTCTAGTAATTCAGCAGTGTGTTATCGTGGCCTAGTATTGTGTATTTTTGTTCTGGAGGTTGTTCTGTTGTCTTTGGTCCTGGGTAGTGTTGTTTCTGTTCACCGTTCTAGTTGCCAGTCCAAGTCTTGCACTTCATTTATTCTTTGGTCACATTTTATGTGGAACGTTTTTGAATAAAATGCTGATCCCTCTCTTTCATGTTTTCTTGCACGGGAGCGGACTGGGACCAGAAATCGGCCCTGGCATTTCTAATACACCAGTCAAATTTTTTTCCTTGAGGCCCCACCCCCATTATTAGCAAAATAATGCTAATTTTGCACAAAAAAACGAACACACTCATCAGGCCTTTGCCCGAAATGCTAGATGGCCAGTCCGCCCCTGTTCTTGCATCAATATTAATGCCCATATGTTAGGGTTCAGGGTTGAAGTTAAGTTTATATTATGCTTTGATCAAATGAAGAAAATGCAATTTTACATAAATATGTTTGCTTTTCAGAATGACGATGTTCTCACCCAAGACCAATGTTCAGAAGAAGACCCCAGGACCTACAAAGACCAACAAGAAGATGTAAGCAGACCACCATGTCCAGATATATTTATGGCTGGCCGGTTGCTCAGACAGTACAATGCCTAGACCTGGCCTAAAAAGTACTTTCATGGAAAATCTTCAATGAACATGCTTTTAGACAAGGAGTAGGATTAGTCCTAGTCTGGGAATCCGGCCCTTTGTTTTGTACAACATTTCTGTAGTTTTTTTCTATATGAATATCAACATAATTCTGCTTTATTTTAGAGGATGTCTCTTTAGTGATTACCCAGGAGACACTGCAGCACCCAGTGTCCCACACACTAACCTCAGTACAGTCAAAACCCCTACACCAGTTTGCTGCTTTCAATACTCGGGTAACTCTCTCTCTCTCTCTCTCTCTCTCTCTCTCTCTCTCTCTCTCTCTCTCTCTCTCTCTCTCTCTCTCTCTCGCTCGCTTTCTTTCTCTCTTTTTACCATACTTTCAAATGTTCTGTTTTTGCTTTACCAAGAATCATACAAGCTAATATATTGGGTTAATATATATATATATTTTTTTGTCTTCTCTGCCCAGGAGATGGAAAGCAGATTCTGTGTGGTCTGGGAGACAGATCTGTATTGTTGTACAAGTCCTCCCTCACAGGCAGTCCAGCAGTTTACACAGGTAGTGGGGCAAGAACACACACACTCACACACACACACTGATTAGAAACCTCTCAAGCTGTGTTTATTTGACCTCAAGACAGTGTTTTGGTCCACTGTTCCCTTTTCCTCCTTTTCACTCTCCTTTCAAATAAGTCTCAGCAAAAAAGCAAAGCAGCCGAAACCTTAAAACCCAAAGAACAGGACGGAGTGTGGTTTTTGATTAATGGTTATTTGTTTTATTATTTATTGAACCACCGTTTTTGTTTATCTATCTCGCCTGTCGATCATGTTGAGGAATGACGTTCTAGCTCTGAGGAGAATCCACGCAACTGACTGGTAATGTTTTTTCTGCCGCTGTGGAGAGGATTGTTTTTCTTTCTCTCCCACTTTATTGCTGAGGGTGAAGCTTAGTTACTATATGGCTGACAATTAAAGAGAGGAACTGAGCTTATAACCCTGTTTTTAGAAGCCTAGTGGAAAACAGACTAAATCACTACCTAGCTTATTTTCACACTGTTCTCAGCCCAAGCTATCCAAGCCCCAAAGTCTTCCCTATCCATGATGAAGTAGTATCCTGCACCAGAGTCACATTCACTTTAAAATCTTACAGGCTTTTTAGCCTGTATGCTAGGAACTGTTTGATGGAGTGAGTGTTGCTGGCCTTTGCCTTAATGCTGCATTACTGTTTTCATATATAGCGTGAATTAAGTGAATACTCTTCAGAATGCTATTTGAACTCAACTATTATCAGAGATTTTCTTTACTGTTGATACAGGGTAGGCTTAGCCTATGATGATTTACTTATTTAATCTGGGATTGTAAACGATACTGGAAACAGGTCCAGAGGCTCAAGATGAAAGGCTTCAGGTGAAGATCCAAACATCCACCCATATCCTCTAACTTCTAGATTTAAACAAATTACCTCCTGGTGATGGTGAAGCATTATCTGGTTCTCTGCCACAAGGTGAGCGTGAGTTAGGTGTTTGATAAATGTTGTCTTTTACCTTCTTCCGAGAAAGAGAAGGACTTATCGACGGTTTGGAAAGAAGGGAGAAAGATGTGTTGCGCTCTCCTCCGCAGATGGGCACTACAACAACATGTCTTCCTAACCGCTTCTGGAGTTAATTTAAGATATTGCTCAACAGTTGCACTCCATCTCACCCACAACCTCCCTCACGCTCGCACGCACGCACACACACACACAAATCCCTGACGCTTGCTTTGATAGTTCCAAGACACTATCGCTAAAAGCATTCTCTTGGAGGTGAATTGTGTTGATTTATAGAGCTGTCTATAGTCAGAAGAACACAGGATTCTAAATATCTGGCCCTGCCATCCACACACAAACGCCAGTCAGACAGTCAGTCAGTGTGGTTGGGTTCTTAACAGCTAAGACAGAGACTAGTATGGCCTGTCAGTGTATGTCATACATCAATGAAAGGATGGGTGGTTTGGCATACTGTAGGCCAGGGCTTGGGTAGGTGCTGTTAGACTGGCTCCACTAGAGGACAGTACTGTAGGCCAGGGCTTGGGTAGGTGCTGTTAGACTGGCTCCACTAGAGGACAGTACTGTAGGCCAGGGCTTGGGTAGGTGCTGTTAGACTGGCTCCACTAGAGGACAGTACTGTAGGCCAGGGCTTGGATAGGTGCTGTTAGACTGGCTCCACTAGAGGACAGTACTGTAGGCCAGGGCTTGGGTAGGTGCTGTTAGACTGGCTCCACTAGAGGACAGTACTGTAGGCCAGGGCTTGGGTAGGTGCTGTTAGACTGGCTCCACTAGAGGACAGTACTGTAGGCCAGGCTTGGATAGGTGCTGTTAGACTGGCTCCACTAGAGGACAGTACTGTAGGCCAGGCTTGGATAGGTGCTGTTAGACTGGCTCCACTAGAGGGCAGAGGGTCATTATAATAGTTCTCTCCTGTGACTGAGACTAAAGACATGACAGTGTTCCTAGAGCAGTGGATGTATAAAAGTAAATGTCAGTGTCTGTGCGGATGTTGTTGTAAGCTTCACTCTGTTTAGCTGTCCAATACTCTGGTTTCAGGTTCACTATTGTGGTTTTAATTAATACCCTTTTCACATTACTAAGCCAAGCTAGCCATAATATAGTTTCTGGAACTTTTCTGGAAAAGACAATAGCTACGTACAAAATGGCACCCTATTCCTTATGTAGAGTACTACTTTTGTCTGTGTCCTTATGAAGCTCTGGCCAAAAGTAGTGGACTAGGGAATAGGGTGCCATTTGAGAAACTATCAGAGCCAGTACATGGCATTACAGCTTGGGTTAGCACAATGAAAATGTATGTGTGTCTTTCGGAGGGGTTGGGATAAAGTGGAAGTCAAATTTCGGTTGAACTTTGTGTACATTTGACAAATAAAGTGATCTTATTCTTAAAAAGGTACTAGGCTCACTCACTACTGCTGTTTCATCAACTCCTTGTACTTGTCCATCAACTCCAGGCTGACTCAGCACAACTCTGGATGTGTTTGCAGGTCATGACAAGCCAGTGAGCAGTGTGGACTGGAGTCACAGCAGACAGTGGTGGCTGAGTGCCTCAGAAGACAGAACCCTCCGCATCTGGCCTACTGGAAGTCCTGAGCCTGCCGTTACCATGGTAAACACTCAGCACACATACAGAAGGCACTAGTAATTCCACCTTTGAAAGTAAACATTTTGTTGACCAGATTTGTTGTACACTGAGTGTACAAAACATTAAGAACACCTGCTGTGACAAAATTGTTCTATCATCATGGCATAATCACTTTCCTACTCAGGTTTTTACAGTGTCCATGATGTGAAAAGCCTCATGGGATAGTAAAAGCCTAGTTAATGAGGTTGATGACATACTGTGTCTCTTGGCCCGGCGTTGTGTGATGATGTAAGAGGGAACATCTGCACAGAACTCTGCTCGTCTGTCTATCTGTTTGTCTGTTGGCTAAAGATGCAGAGCAGTGAGTATGTGCAGATCCTCTTCACTCCCTAACTGGACATCACACTCTCCTAGAAGTCCCAGAACATTTTACTCAAATCAAAGTTTATTGGTCGTGTGAAATGCTTATGATACTGTATATATCTTTCCTTTATATCCCCATGCTTTCCAGGGTGGGGATCAGTTCCATTTCAATTCAGTCTGAATTCAATTCCAATTTTCCCAAAGACTGCTTTAATAGTTTTGATAGAAGCTTCTGACAATTGGAGACAGGGCAACAAAGTTTGTTTGTCTCCAGAGTGGTTTAGAGCACGTTGTGACGTTTCATTTTGCCAGCGTAGTCTGATGCTTTTTTAAAGCTCCCCTCAGCTGCTCAGCTGCTGCTAACCATCCCAGCTTATCTCTTCTAAATGAGGAGATCCTAGACTTGGCAGGAACTCCAGCAGTTTGTCTATTTGTCGTGAACTGAAGCAGTTTAATTAAGCATCTTGGCAACAACAAAGACATGTAACTTGGGGAGGGAAACTATGCAGGGTGACGAATTATTGCATATGGCTTTAAAATGTCTGTGTAATGAAGCTCCACTATCTATCAGGCGTTGGAATTGGTTCAGGGAACAGAACCGGGAAAGAAAGTGATCTCTAGTGTTCCGGAACAGAACCGTTATTTTCAAATCTTGAGAACCGGTTAATAATGTTATTTTTTGTTCCAAACATTTTCGTAATGTTTAAACCCCCTAAGGAGACTGAAAATATTTGGCATGAGTCCTCAGATCCTCAAAAGGTTCTACAGCTGCACCATCGAGAGCATCCTGACTGGTTGCATCACTTCCTGGTATGGCAACTGCTCGGCCTCCGACCGCAAGGCACTACAGTGGAGCAGGTTGAGAGCTTCAAGTTCCTTGTATCCACATCACCAACAAACTAACATGGTCCAAGCACACCAAGACAGTCGTGAAGAGGGCACGACAAAACCTATTCCCCCTAAGGAGACTGAAAAGATTTGGCATTGGTCCTCAGATCCTCAAAATGTTCTACAGCTGCACAATCGAGAGCAACCTGACTGGTTGCATCACTGCCTGGTATGGCAACTGCTTGGCCTCCGACCGCAAGGCACTACAGAGGGTAGTGCGTACGGCCCAGTACATCACTGGGGCCAAGCTTCCTGCCATCCAGGACCTCTATCAAATGGCTACCCAGACTATTTGCTTTGTCATGATGTTCAGCGCTTCAAGCCAAGCCCCCTCCATGTCCACCCCTCTCTTGCTCTCTCCCCACCGGTGAAATTTCAGTCTCATCTCACGCCTGCCTTATCTGACCAGTCAAACATGTAAATAACTAGCTTAGGTGTTTCATAGCAAGCTTCTGTATCTGTGCTAATGGGTCGAGTAAATTAATTAGCTATTTTGTAAAAAACCATGTTGATTTCACAGGTTTAAAAAAAAGAACAAAAAGGGACTATATGAACCGTAATGTTTTTGAGGTTCGAACTGGTTTAGAACTTTATTTTCTGGTCGGAACAAACTGTCATCCATTCCGCATCAAAGTTGGTGATTTTCTGATTAGGATTGCAAAACTCCAGAAACTTTCCCAGGTTTTTCAAGAATTTCTGTTACATTAGATAGGCTATATAACGTTGCAGCTCCTACAAGCCCTGGGGCTAAGCGCCTGATGAGGCATGACGGCCTATAATCACTTGGTTTGTTTTTTGGCCCTGAAAAACGCTTCACCCTTCCCCTCTCTTCCCCTCCTTTCCACTCTCTTCTACTCTCTTTCCCTCTCTTTCTCTCTCTTCCTCTCTTTCCCATAAAAGCATCAAAGATATGAAAAGAGTGGCTTAAAAAAAGATAACCACATAACTGCTCCACAACGAGAGCATAGCATGCTGACGAGGACAGGCCCTCTCCCTCTCTGCTTCAATCCAAAGGATATTCTTTCATGAGTCTCTTTTTCCACACGGAAAATAGACATTCCTGTGTCTTACTGACTTTGAGGCCAGGGAAAACTCCTCACAAAGCGTTTTAAAGGGAGAAAAAGAGAGGGGGAAAGAGAGAGAGAGGGATTTCTGAATGCAACCAACCCTCCTATTACGATTTAAACCCATCTATTAAAAGGGTAAATCTATTTAATGCACATATGGTATCAGGCCTTGAAAGTAGAGGCTCATAGAGCAAGAATTCTATTCCAATAGTTGTTTCAAGGTTATTTGAGGCTATTTTAAATAACTTATCATAATAACCCATATTAAACTATGTGTATTTCACAGTCATCATCTGGTTGGCCCTCATCTGAGAGGGATCTGATGCAAGATAATTCAAGTTATTCATCAGGTAGTGATTGGTTTGGTAACACTTAACCAAACACACTTTTGGTAACGCTTCATAACTTGTTATAAGCCTTTATAATTATTTGTTTCTCCCATTCCTTCAGGGGGGTGATGAGAAGTTCTCCAAACCCATCCGGGGGGCTCAGTTCTACTACCTGGATAAGTTCCTGTTACTGGCATCTGGTCCCTCACTACACCTCTACCTGTATCACCTGGACAACACACGGGACGACATTAAAAGGTAAGGATATGAAAGATAGAAAAGTAGATAGATTGATAGAAGTTGCCTCTGCTGACGTATGACCCCTCCTTACACCGGTACCTCTATCACCTGGCTGGATATCACACAGGATGACATTAAAAGGTAATGATAGGAACAATATTTTAATGATAGGACTGACATTTGAATTATATGAACAACACATACTCATCTGCCATTGGGTCGTCTGGTGGATAGGGCAACAAAAGGTTCCCAACCTCTGGCTGTCCTTGGTCATCTTCTCCACTGTGCCCCAGTTACATTTACATTTTACATTTTAGTCATTTAGCAGACGCTCTTATCCAGAGCGACTTACAGTTAGTGAATACATATATATATTTTTTATACTGGCCCCCCGTGGGAATCGAACCCACAACCCTGGCATTGCAAACGCCATGCTCTATCAACTGAGCTACATCCCTGCCGGCCATTCCCTCCCCTACCCTGGACGACGCTGGGCCAATTGTGCACCGCCCATGAGTCTCCCGGTCGCGGCCGGCTGCGACAGAGCCTGGATTCGAACCAGGATCTCTAGTGGCACAGTTAGCACTGCGATGCAGTGCCTTAGACCACTGCGCCACTCAGGTGCTAATGGTGTTGGAGCTCAGTCTCCATCGTTCTATTGTACATTTCAACCAAACATTTATAATGCCAACTCAGCTAAGAAACACTCATCTTTGATTGCATCTGAGAGGAGGCTACTGTTTTTATTTTTTATTTTCTTCTGACCATGGATATCAACAGATATTTATCCTATGTGTCATCCCAACAATTTATACTGAAAAAAAAAGTAAATTGTTGATCTCATGTTTCATGAGCTAAAATAAAATATCCCAGAAATGTTCCAGACGCACAAAAAGCTTCTTTCTCTAAAATGTTGTGCACAAATTAGTTTACATCCCTGATAGTGAGCATTTCTCCTTTGCCAAGATAATTCATCCACCTGACAGGTGTGGCATATCAAGAAGTTGATTAAACAGCATGATCATTACACAGGTGCACCTTGTGCTGGAGACAATACAAGGCCACTCTAAAATGTGCAGTTTTGTCACACACACAATGCCACTGATGTCTCAAGTTTTGAGGGTGCATGCAATTGGCATGCTGACTGCAGGAATGTCCACCAGAGCTGTTGGCAGATAATTGAATGTTCAGCTCTCTACCATAAGCCGCCTCCAACGTCGTTTTAGAGAATTTGGCAGTACGTCCAACCGGCCTCACAACCGCAGACCACGTGTAACCACGCCAGCCCAGGACCTGTGGGATCGTCTGAGACCAGCCATGCAGACAGCTGATGAAATTGAGGAGTATTTCTGTCTGTAATAAAGCCCTTTTGTGGGGAAAAACTCATTCTGATTGGCTGGGCCTGGCTCCCCAGTGGGTGGCCAGCCTGGCTCCCCAGTGGGTCCCCAGTGGGTAGGCCCACCCATGGCTGCGCCCCTGCCCAGTCATGTGAAATCCATAGATTAGGGCCTAATTTATTTTTTTCAATTGACTGATTTCCTTATATGAACTGTAACTCAGTAAAATCATTGAAATTGTTGCATGGTGCGTTTATATATTTTTTCTGTATTGTTAGTTGACAGCCACATCACAGTCACATACTTAACTGCATTCCTGAAAATAACTTCTGAGAACACATTCAGAGAGAGAGAGAGAGCGCAAAGGACAAGAGTTGGCTCTCTTCACTTCCTGTTAATGATCAAACCAACACGATTATATTCTACAGTATCATGTAAACATGTCCTGACTGGGGTATGGAATGCACGTGAGAAGACCACCAACGAGGAGATAGCCATGCCATAACAACCATGCCCACCGCTTTAGCTGAGAAACGCTAAGCAAGGGGACATTGATTCAAAATCCTATTTTCCCTAACCCTAACACCTAACCCCTAACCCCTACCCCTAACCCCTAACCCTAACCCATAACCCCTACCCCTAACCCTAACCCCTAACCTTAACACCTAACCCCTAACCCTAACCCCTAACCCTAACCCCTAACCCCTAACCCTAACACCTAACTAATTGTAACTCTAACTCTTATTGTAACCATTTCCTCCAGGTTGAGTCTCTCTCCACAGAGCACGATGCCTACATTATCATTTCCTCCAGACTGATTCTCTCTCTCCACAGAGCACGATGCCTACATTATCATTTCCTCCAGACTGATTCTCTCTCTCTCCACAGAGCACGATGCCTACATTATCATTTCCTCCAGACTGAGTCTCTCTCTCCACAGAGCACGATACCTACATTATCATTTCCTCCAGACTGATTCTCTCTCTCCACAGAGCACAATGCCTACATTATCATTTCCTCCAGACTGTGTCTCTCTCTCCACAGAGCACGATGCCTACATTATCATTTCCTCCAGACTGAGTCTCTCTCTCTCCACAGAGCACGATGCCTACATTATAATTTCCTCCAGACTGAATCTCTCTCTCCACAGAGCACGATGCCTACATTATAATTTCCTCCAGACTCAGTCTCTCCACAGAGCACGATGCCTACATTATAATTTCCTCCAGACTGAGTCTCTCTCCACAGAGCACGCTGCCTACATATTCATTTCCTCCAGACTGATTCTCTCTCTCCACGGAGCACGCTGCCTACATTATCATTTCCTCCAGATTGAGTCTCTCTCCACAGAGCACGCTGCCTACATGATCATTTCCTCCAGGTTGAGTCTCTCTCCACAGAGCACGCTGCCTACATGATCATTTCCTCCAGGTTGAGTCTCTCTCGACAGAGCACGCTGCCTACATTATCATTTCCTCCAGATTGAGTCTCTCTCGACAGAGCATGTTGCCTGCAGTACCATATAATGGCTAGCATGGCTAGCAGTCGTCAGTTCAACACCACTTATTGGGGTGTGAGGCAATATTTTTAGGTCAGGACCCGTATTCATTCAAAGTCTCAGAGTAGGAGTAGTAAGTCAGGATCATTCTTGTCTTTTAGATCACAATGCCCAACTATTTTGAGACACTTTTTGAATATGGGCCCGCATCTGACTTTAATTGCTAAGTACCCAGACTTGAAGCTTACAGTAAATATCTAATTACCACGATTTAACTCCAAGCACAAGTCTATCTCTATTCTTGTTCAGGTACCGGCAGAGGAGTACCATCAAACTGACAAGATGTTTGGAGACAAAGTCAGGAACAGACATCACTGCTGTGTCAGCCATCAACGACTTCTACTCCTGTATCCTTCGTCACACAATCCAGTGATCACTGTAACTGGAAAATATAGGATCAGCTATCCACTCTCTCCTCAATCAGAGGTAGCAGTTCATTCATGTCACCCTAGTCTTAGATCATTGTTACCAAAAGCATTAATCTACCGTCATATCTACTTACCTTAGTAGTTTATTCTTAATATTAGTTACACTATTTGATAGTATTAATCTACAGTTGTTAAACACAATTCTACAAAGCCTTTGGTTATGGATCATATTCTGTAGAGAGTCTTTATCACCAGTGCTGATCAACAATAACCCATATCATTCACTGACTGACAGCAAGGAATCGCTTCAGAGAGCAGTCTCAATTTCTAAGCAAATTCACGAATAACACAGTAACACAGAGTGGAAAATATTACAGAATCATCTGATGTCTACTTTCCTTTCCACTTTGTCCGTTGCCAAGCACAACGCAGCTTAATACCTCAGTAAAAACGACACTCAGTCCTCCAAACATTGCTATAAATGGACTTTAGGGTTCAGAGGATTTATTAGAAAATAAATGTATTGTAAAACTCTTTAACAAGGAGACATTCGGGATGGAGACATTCCTGAAACATTCAAGTAATTGTCGATGTCCCAAATGGCACCCTATTCCCTATACAGTGCACTACTTTTGACCAGAGCCCTCTGGGTCCTGGTCAAAAGTAGTGCACTAAATAAGGAAGATATTGCTATTTGGGATGCTGCCATCGTGTTGATTTAGTGCTAAGATCAACTGTGGCAGACCGGAGGCTACACGTGAGGTTTGAGGGCCTTCCTGAGCAGAATAGGCTAGAGCAGCAGGACCTGGGGCTGTGGGGGATATGACACTGTCGTGATACCAGAATAGTCTCGTTAAAAATATTGAAATGAATGGTTTATTCTCGCTGAGTGGTATACTTTACTGGAGTTTCACTTAAAGGGGCAATCAGCAGTGGCTACATACATTTTTTGACTTATAAATTAATGATATGTACCAATTGAGTCTTGAAGAATATAACTTATAAATGCCTCATGTGCTTAGTTCAACTGTCATACCCCATAGCTTCAAAACATGGTTAAAACTATAATTTTGATGTCATGGATGGTCAGTCCTTGCATCCAAAGCTCTGTCTATGAATTTGAGAGTGGTTACATTTCTCCAGCCCCATCCCTCAACTTTCAAACGAAACAGGGGCAGGGAGGACCATTGTTATTGTTTCTACTGCTGATTGCCCATTTAAAAAGTATCAATGTGTGTTTCAAAGTGAAACTTAACTGCCCGTTGAGTACTGTAATGGACTTTCCTTAGCAGCTGTATGTGTCAGACATAGTGCTGGTGTGTGGTGCTGACCGCTCCATCCAGGTGTTGGACATGAACACAGGGACAGTGGCCTCACAGCTCCCTGATGCCCACAGCAGAGCTGTCCATCACATCACACAGAACAAGGTAAGAAGAGAACCCTGAGCACACAAGTCACAACACATTCAAAACCAGTACATAGGCTAGCCTAAACATTTACCAGGAGGAGGATTAATCTGGGTTCAATAAACTGGCCCTATATGTTGTAAAATGTATTTGAATTATGACTTTTTTAGGAAATACATGGAACAGTTCACATGACATTGTCGGCTGTTGAATTGATTGAGGTGATGTCACTATGGTTTTTTTGTCCAGGAAAGGTCAGAGAGAGATGGCGTTAGTGATTAAAATACCACATAATGGTTGAGTCTATAAAAGCTGAAGCCTCATGATCTGAGGTCACTTCCTTCCGTCAGTGGGGCTGTGATGGCACACTCCTCCATCTCTGGAAAGCACACTGGGTTCCTCGAAAGATACAGCTTTATAGGTCAATAAAGTCACTCTGAAAATCTGTGAAAGCAAACCCTTTCCTAGTAATGCGATGCCATTTTTTATTGTAGATTTGAATTTGGTGCGTTTGGCTAGCGAATGTATTGCAAGTTTGTATCCTAAAAGTAATGCATCACTATAAGGGAGTTTACCAGAGGACAGATTGGAGTGGAAGAGTGCACAGTCGGAATAGGGTGCCATTTGGGACACATACTCCTTGTGGAAAAGGGTGCCATTTGGGACGCAGCCTTTGACTCTTTCACAGTCCTCCCATGACCCATAACCTTTCTGGAGGACATATGAAAGTGAGCTAGCTTGCCTTGTGCAGGCATGCAGTGGTACGTCAGCAACACCCATCTTCTATCATACTGGACAGTCAGAGGATGTATTCCTTGGCAGACCAGACATGGGTGTTATATGAAATATTATAAACTGGGTGGTTCGAGCCCCGAATGCTGATTGGCTGATAGCCGTGGTATATCAGACCATATACCACGGGTATGACAACACATTTATGTTTACTGCTCTAATTACATTGGTAACCAGTTTATAATAACAATAAGGCACCTCGGGGGTTTGTGATATATGGCCAATATACCACGGCTAAGGGCTGTATCCAGGCACGACGCAAAGAACAGCCCTTAGCCGTGGTATATTGGCCATATACCACACCCCCTCGTGCCTTATTGCTTAAAGATACAGCCTTAACCTACGTTACGTAAGAAACACAGATATTTTTCTGGGGATAAAAGTGTCAGCCTGTGGTGTGAATGAACAAGACCGTGATGAGACAGTGGATGCATCCTAAATGGCACCCTATTGTGCACTACATTTGACCACAGCCCTATAGGCCCTTGTTAAAAGTAGTGCACTATAAAGGGAATAGGATGCCATTTGGGACGTAGTCAGTGTTTCCAAGAGCGAAGGACTCGTCGAGCCATCATCTAGATAATTAATCTATTTTAGGAGTAAAGCCTCACACACACACACACACACACACACACACTGGTTAAAAGTAGTGAACTATATGAGGAATAGGGTGCCATTTGGGCCAGAACCCAAAAGTGGTCTCAGCCTCAACCAGTGCATGGAAACATATGGAAATATCCTGTGTGCAGTAAATGCATACATGTTCAATAAATTATACAAGCGTATAGGAGGGGTGTGCATATCATTCCAGTCTTCGACATAACTGTCAAATAATTCAACATGTTTCAGAGCTGTTTCTATTTAAAATGTTATATATTATTTCATATACAAGACCAAGTTATATCTATGAAAACCAGCCAGTTTTGTAACAATAGGAATATCTATAAGTTGCCATGTTTTATGTCTCTGAGATATATTGGCTGGAATATTTAATCGCTTACAGACAAACAGACAGTAGATAGGGGGACAGACAAATTAACAGACATTTTGACAGACAGAAAAACAGGCAGACAGACAGAGACTGACACATGGGCAGACAAGCAGACAGACAGACAATGATCATGGTGTTGAACTAGGTGAAACTGGAGCAACAGGGGGACTGCATGGTTGCACCCATTGACCCTACTTTGTTTATTGTGAAGAGGGGCCACGGATCTGCTCCCGTGTTGACCTGACCCCCCAACACAGCCCTTCGCCACACACACACACACATGCTGCATTGTCATCACTCAGAGAACACACACACAGTCACCGAGGCAGTAGCCTGGATTAGCTGGGTGAACTGCACCTAGTGGCCTGGCTTAACTTGCATTAACCCATCCCGATCCTTCCTTCAGCTGGGAACCACTCTCCCACACCACCTGCTCTCCCACCACCTGTCTCCCTCGGCCCAAAAACGTCTGGCACCCTTCTCCCTCACGCAACATAGGAGAGCATAGAATGTAGGTAGCGTCACAAATGGCAGCCTATTCCCTATATAGTTCACTACTTTTGAGGCAAGAGGGTGTCAGTAGAGTGAGAGTCAGTAGAGGGTAAAGTAGTGCACTATATAGGGAATAGGGTGCCATTTGGGATGCAGACACAGTGTGATAGTCTCTTTTCACCTTGTATTTTCCCAGTCACGCCACCCCATTGTGTGCAGTGCATTGTGGGCCGGTTGTACCGGCCATGGCATGCTGACCCGTGTTGACTCAGGTGGGGTCATCCCTCTTTCTGGGTGCCTTAGGGCTATGGGGCCACCTGGGCGCTGCCTGGGGGTCTTAGGGACAGTGCAGGGCAGAGGGGCCAGAGGGTTAATGCCTCAGGATCATCATGGGGAATGTCTATCTGTGCCTGGAAAGACTGTGTACTTAACATAGCACACACATATACACACACTAGTGATGCGTGGATTGACTCATAACGCGTAGTCCCAGCGGTTATATCTGCAGGGTTGGGTTTAGGGTCATTAAATATTGTGTGGATGAAGGGCGGGTGGTTGGCGTGTGGGTTGAATATAGAGAAAACAATACCTTAAAAAATCCTTAAATGTATCATTCTTGTACAATTTATATCTATAGGCTACATTAAGGTTTTTCTTTCATTATTTTAGGCTATATTGCATTAGTGAGTAAGCCTAAGCTTTAGGCCCTAGCTGTACGCTTGTCAAATAGCCTATATGCCAATCGCCAAAATACTTTTGGGAACAGGCAGAAAAAGTGAACGTCGATCCACGAGGCAAAAAGGACAATGTTGGAGTTTAATTCAATAAGAAAAAAACTGTAAAATGGAGAGTTGAAAATAAAGAGAAGGGAGGGCCAGAAAAGTAATGTTTGGGAAAGATTTAGTGAAGTGGTAAAAGAGGATGATAGCAGTGCCGGTTGTGATGATTGTGAGGCACTATACAAATTCGACAGTCACAAGACGGGGACTTCAAATAGGCCTATGGCACGTCAAGGGAACTGTAGCCTACTGTTCAGATGGGTTACATGAAAACTGAAATCTGGACACTGACTGTCGGTCTATAACCTCTCACAAAGCCTTAATATTAACTTCTGCAGAATTAAGCATTTCTTGCAGTAAAATTATACACCAAATGTTGGCAACATTTTGACTCAGGAACAGGAGTGGAGAAATATGATTGATTTATTTCAGCATGTTGAGAAAATATGAATGCGCAGTTAGATACCGTCTGTAGAGGTGCTGTCTTTATCAGCATCATAAAAGCTGATAGTATTTCAACCACATAAAATATGCACCCAAGCTGAACTGAAATCTTATCAGAAACATGTTGGGTTGTTTTCACAGCTTTCTATTTCCTTACAACCGGTCAAACTGATGTAATTTGGACATTTTGCACAGAAAATCTTTCCTTTTTTTTTTTTTGTTATTGCATTTTCTTCCCGGTCCCTAAACGTCTTTGCTCCGTGAAAGAAGCAGAGATGACAGAGAACTTTACTGATGTGAACTAGATAGAATACCCTTTTCAATCATTAATGATCATTATTTAGTCTTCTTGGGCAACATATAATGACAGAAGAGAAGCTGCATGTATATAATTACAGACAAGTTGACTAACAAATACCCAACCAAAATGTTGGAAATTATAAGCAGAAATCAGACAGAAACAACTCTGCACCCCCTGTTTAAAAATCTTCCCGCTCTCTGACTGCAGCCTACAGCACATTTTCTATATTAGCGGGTTAGTCGGGTGTGGGCCTCAGATTTTCACATACTGTCGGGCAGTTGTGGATGGGTGATTGTCAATTGCAGGCGGGTGCGGGTGAACAAAAAGCTGACCCACACACACACTTGCACACATACGAGCTCAATCACACACACACACACACACACAGCATACATAACATAGCCAACATCCCCCTCTCCTCACCTAATCTCCTCCCCTCACTTTCTCCCTAACCTTATCCCTGGGCTGGCTTGGGTACTTGCACCAAGCAACATTTTTTAATAAAGGTAAATCAATATAAATAAAGCTGTTTATAAGATGTGTTGCTTACCACCAAAAAAGTATTAAAGAGTTCAATGTAGAGGGATGTGTTTGCACCCTATCTCTCTATATTGACTGGACATGTGGCTCAGACATTGTGAACTGAAGCAGCTTCTCCAGCACTGCTTCAACTTTCCATCCTTTCCTTTGTATGCTCTGCAAAGATCACCTGGAAATCGTCAGATCAGAGCCGAGGCACTTCTCGGAAATTACAACTTGAAATGCCCTCTCAGACTCACTTTCCCACACTCTTAATGGAAACCTAAACAAAACGAACCTCCGCTCCTTCATTGTGCATCATCAAATAATCTGGTATAAAAGTCATAAATTGACCCCATGAATATCCCTAAAGGGCAAGATGTTTTAGTGAGTGAAGAAACGGCCTCAGTCCAAGTCTGCGTCCAAAATGACACCATATTCCCTATATAGTAGACTACTCTTGATCAGCTCTGGTCAAAAGTAGTGCACTACAGTGCCTTGCAAAAGTATTCATCCCCCTTGGTGTTTTTCCTATTTTGTTGCATTACAACCTGTAATTTAAATGGATTTTTATTTAGATTTCATGTAATGGACAAACACAAAATAGTCCAAATTGGTGAAGTGAAATGAAAAAAATAACTTGTTTAAAAAAAAATTGAAAAGATAAATAACAGAAAAGTGGTGTGTGCATATGTATTCACCCCCTTTGCTATGAAGCCCCTAAATAAGATCTGGTGCAACCAATTACCTTCAGAAGTCACATAATTTGTTAAAGTCCACCTGTGTGCAATCTAAGTGTCACATGATCTCAGTATATATACACCTGTTCTGAAAGGCCCCAGAGTCTGCAACACCACTAAGCAAGGGGCACCACCAAGCAAGCTGCACCATGAAGACCAAGGAGCTCTCCAAACAGGTCAGGGACAAAGTTGTGGAGAAGTACAGATCAGGGTTGGGTTATAAAAAAATATCCGAAACTTTGAACATCCCACGGAGCGCCATTAAATCCATTATAAAAAAATTGAAAGAATATGGCACCACAACAAACATGCCAAGAGAGGGCCACCCACCAAAACTCACGGACCAGGCAAGGAGGGCATTAATCAGAGAGGCAACAAAGAGACCAAAGATAACCCTGAAGGAGCTGTAAAGCTCCACAGCGGAGATTGGAGTATCTGTCCACAGAGTTGGGCTTTACGGAAGTGTGGCCAGAAAAAAAACATTGCTTAAAGAAACAAATAAGCAAACACGTATGGTGTTCGCCAAAAGCCATGTGGGAGACTCCCCATACATATGGAAGAAGGTACTCTGGTCAGATGAGACTAAAATTGAGCTTTTTGGCCATCAAGGAAAACGCTATGTCTGTCGCAAACCCAACACCTCTCATCACCCCGAGAACACCATCCCCACAGTGAAGCATGGTGGTGGCAGCATCATGCTGTGGGGATGTTTCTCATCGGCAGGGACTGGGAAACTGGTCAGAATTGAAGGAATGATGGATGGCGCTAAATACAGGGAAATTCTTGAGGGAAACCTGTTTCAGTCTTCCAGAGATTTGAGACTGGGACGGAGGTTCACCTTCCAGCAGGATAATGACCCTAAGCATACTGCTAAAGGAACACTTGAGTGATTTAAGGGGAAACATTTAAATCTCTTGTAATGGCCTAGTCAAAGCCCAGACCTCAATCCAATTGAGAATCTGTTGTATGACTTAAAGATTGCTGTATAACAGCGGAACCCATCCAACTTGAAGGAGCTGGAGCAGTTTTGCCTTGAAGAATGGGCAAAAATCCCAGTGGCTAGATGTGCCAAGCTACAGACATACCCCAAGATACTTGCAGCTATAATTGCTGCAAAAGGTGGCTCTACAAAGTATCGACTTTGGGGGGGTGAATAGTTATGCATGCTCAAGTTCAGTTTCACAATAAAAAGTTGTTTCCATTCCAGCAGTCAGCAGAGTAATGCAGCTACAGGCTCTCAGCACCCTATTCAGGTGTGACTACTCTCTCTCTCTCTCTCTCTCTCTCTCTCTCTCTCTCTCTCTCTCTCTCTCTCTCTCTCTCTCTGTCTCTGTCTCTCTCTCTCCTCTCTCTGTCTCTCTCTCTCTCTCTCTCTCTCTCTTCTCTCTCTCTCTCTCTCTCTCTCTCTCTCTCTCTCTTCTCTCTCTCTCTCTCTCTGTCTCTCTCTCTCTCTCTCTTTTCTCTCTCTCTTCTCTCTCTCTCTCTCTCTCTCTCTCTCCTCTCTCTCTCTCTTCTCTCTCTCTCTCTCTTTATTATTATGATTATTTTTACCCTTATTTGACCAGGTAAGTTGACTGAGAACACATTATTATTTACAGCAATGACCTGGGGAATAGTTACAGGAGAGAGGAAGGGGGATGAATGATCCAATTAGAGGCTGGGGATGATTAGGTGGACATGATGATATGAGGGCCAGATTGGGAATTTAGCCAGGACACCAGGGTTAACACCCCTACTCTCTCACATTCAGGGGTTATCTCTACTGTCTCTCTCTTTCCAAATGTTTCAGGCCAGGTCTCCCTTCATTTGGACTACCTGTTTAACACAAAAGTCAGGGTGCTAAATTACCCAGCGATTATTCTTTGCAGCCTTATGTATATAAATTATGAATAATATATGTATTATAGAACAGGGTTTTTTTAGAAGGACACACCGTAGCAAAACGTTTTGCCACAGAAAATGAAATCTGTGGTCTTCGGACACGTTTGGGTAGTACCTCCCTGTTTCACCCTGTTTAAAATGTGTTCTTTCTACTTAACTTGACACATAATTATTTTATATTAATTACATTAAATTTAACATTAAAGATGGAATCTGCAGTAGGGGAAACAGCATGTAAAAAAAAAAGTGCAGTACATATTGCTCTCGTCTATTGCGCGTGCAATGTTGACCAAGGGGAAAAAACAGTGTTTGTCATTTGCAGTAACTTCTTTGTTGTTCTAATATCTTAAACGGAAGTGTCTGTTTCACCATTAAGGATTCCAGCTTTAATATCTTCTTTGTTTATTTGTTTATCCTCCAGGGCTCTATGTTCTGTAGCCAGACTTCAGACTCCTACAACCTCTTCCTGACCAGCGCAGTGACAGACGGAGTTAAGCTGTGGGACCTGAGGACACTCAGGTTGGTTGGTCAAACTCTACTGGTTCTTACTCTGTTCTTAACCACTGTTAACCTATTCTCCTCTACTGAATCTCACTGTGGCAACACTCACTCTCAACCACTGCTGACTGTGATGAGGTGATTTCGAAGGAGTCAGGCGCAGGAGGGTAAATCACAGAATAACAGGATTTATTCTGAAACACAGAGTTACGGAGTAATGCGTCAAAACACCCCAGTGTGCAAAACAGGCACACTGGAAAATACAAGGCACACGGGGAAATATCCCGGCGAACACAAAATACGCGGAGCTCCACCAAGCTTCTCTTTCCTCCACAATAAACAATCACACACAAAGACAAGGGGGCAGAGGGAACACTTATACAGGTACTGATGAGGGGATATGAAGCAGGTGTGTGTGAACAACAAGACAAAGCCAATGGAATGATGAGATGAGGAGCGGCAGTGGCTAGAAGGCCGGTGACGACGAACGCCGAAGCCTGCCCTGTCACGGATTCTGCTGAGACTGCCCTTCCTTCTGGCTCGGGCAGGCTTCGGCGTTCGTCGTCACCGGAGTACTAGCTGCTGCCGCTCTATGTTATATGTTTCTATGTTCACTTGATTGTTGTCTGTTGTTGCGCACCTGTTCCCCATTATGTTAGTTTGTCTGCCTATTTAACCTGTACACGTCCACTGTTTGGTGTGCGTGTTTATTTTATGCTACGAGTGTCATTATTGTGAGCGGGTTTTGCTCCTCCTTTGTTGTTTTGGAGGATATTCTTTGTATTTCTTTACTACTCAGTAAAGTGATTCTTCATCTCATTCTGTATCCTGCGCTTGACTCTGGCCTACTGCATTCCACCGACATTCGTGACATGCCCGAACAAGGAGAGGTGGCAGCTTCGGAGGAAGTCGTGACACTGACTCTCACCCTCAACTGACTCACCCTCAACTGACTCACCCGCAACTGGCTCTAACCCTCAACTGGCTCTAACCCGCAACTGGCTCTAACCCGCAACTGGCTCTAACCCGCAACTGGCTCTAACCCGCAACTGACGCTCACTCTGGCACACCGCACCATGGTTGCCCTATTTCTCATGCAGTTGGAATCACTAATCCTTTTCACTCACACACACTTGATTTTTCACATTTTTCAGACTTTGATTACTGATTAACTACACATTGACAGACCAAGAACTTCAAACCAACTGCCATCCGGAACCATTCAAAATCTGCCGGCTATATAAAATAATTACTTTTAAATATTTGATAGCTAAAGCAGAAATTGACTCCACATGTGGCTTAAAAGCATTTTATTTCTTTCCACTTCCTCTGCTACAGGGGAGAGAGAGAGAGAGAGAGAGGCGTTTTAACTCCCTGCTCTTGCTAAAACAAACAACGATTGTGCCGCCTTATGCAGTCTCAGTGTGGTGGAAGAAGCTTTGAGGGAGAGCAGCAAAGGAACAACTTGCTTATTGCTTGCTTTTGGCTAAATTGGTAAGAGCGTGGCGCTATCAATGCCAAGATTGTGGGTTCAATTCCTTTAGGCATCACATACAAAACATTTACAGTATGTACTGTAAGTCGATTTGGAGAAAAGTGTCTGCTAAGTGCTGTATAGTTGCTAAACCCAGGTCTGAGATAAGTGCTGTATAGTTGCTAAACCCAGGTCTGAGATAAGTGCTGTATAGTTGCTAAACCCAGGTCTGAGATAAGTGCTGTATAGTTGCTAAACCCAGGTCTGAGATAAGTGCTGTATAGTTGCTAAACCCAGGTCTGAGATAAGTGCTGTATAGTTGCTAAACCCAGGTCTGAGATAAGTGCTGTATAGTTGCTAAACCCAGGTCTGAGATAAGTGCTGTATAGTTGCTAAACCCAGGTCTGAGATAAGTGCTGTATAGTTGCTAAACCCAGGTCTGAGATAAGTGCTGTATAGTTGCTAAACCCAGGTCTGAGATAAGTGCTGTATAGTTGCTAAACCCAGGTCTGAGATAAGTGCTGTATAGTTGCTAAACCCAGGTCTGAGCGACCGTAAAATCGACATTGCATACTAGCACCGGCTCCATTGTCTTTGCCCCATGGTGTATTTTAACCAAGCTGGTCACAGATTAGTTTTTGCTCCTATGGTCATTGTCAACAAGACTGCACAAACAGATCTGGACCAGTCTATATTTGAACTACAGGATATCTGAAAACAATCAGTATTTTCCCTGAATAGTTTGGCTTATGCATTGTTAATAATGAGCCTTAAAGTATTAGCACTAATATTCAACCTAATGCATGACAAAGTTCTCGTTTGGCTGAGTGCCAGCTGGCCTAGGATTTAATAATGTACTTCAGAGCAGGTGTACTCCTCTTGGTGACCCTTGCATATTCAAAGTATTGGCCAATAAATTAATAAGTAATGTTGTATATTGCTCGATTTTATTAAATATTCTGTGACATGAGTATTTTACCAGACAAAAATGTTTAGCTGCACCTTTAAGGTTACCTTGGTAAGAGGGCCACTCGAGTCATCACTGTGCCTGTGAGAATATCACTAGTAGAGGCCAACGATGTCTCTTTTTGCTAGCAGTGGGAGCATACTCAAACATTGAAAAGCAACCTAGCTTGTGAACAAAACAATGTAAATAGGCAAGAAACACGAGGACTAAGTCTCACTTTAGTAGACTTTCGAGTAAATTTGACCAACTTTTATGCCTGTGCCCTTTGCTTATAAAAACAAATCTTTCAGCACTCACAGCCCCCCAGACAGGCAGTGTTGCTGCGCGAGATGGGATAGCTATTTACATTTACATTTTAGTCATTTAGCAGACGCTCTTATCCAGAGCGACTTACAGTTAGCGAGTGCATACATTTTTCATACTGCTATAACATTAGGATTCAGATTTCTTTGTGCATTACCAGATAAGAAACAAAATGGCAGAAATACTTTGAAAACAGCTACTGCAGCATTTATTTGCTATAAATCACAACTCGCACTTGTTCTCATACTTTATGAAATGCTCACACCTTAGAGCCTGGAGTGTGACCACGTGCCAATGTGGCTGGTGAAAAAACAATTTAATCAATTTTAGAATAAGGCTATAACGTAACAGAATGTGGAAAAAGTCAAGGGGTCTGAATACTTTCCGAATGCACTGTATTTGAGTATTTGAATGACCATTTGTAAAAACCAAATAGTTGACCAAATTGTATTTGAAAGTATTTTCAAATACTTATTTCAAATACTATTTTGAAATACCTGGGTTCAATACATGGGAGTCTATTTGAGTCAGTGTATTTGAGTATTTTCAAATACATTCCAATATTCAACTACTTGTTTTTTCAAATAAAAGTTATCTGAATATTTGTTTTGAAATGTATTGAAAAGTAATTCTACCCAGTACAGCCAGAGGAGGATAGGCCTCCCCTATGACTCTGGCTCCTCTCAAGGTTTCTTCCTTCTAGGGAGTTTTTCCTTGCCACTTTGCCTCTGCTTGCTCTTTGGGATCTTGGCCGGGTTACTATAAAGCACTTTGTGATTGATAAATTGCTTCTCTCAATGAGTATTCCATTCTCTCTTATGAAAGGACTTTCATTCTAGAACACAAAATCCTTCTCAGCAGGATAGGAATGTTCACAATTACATTTGTTGAACACCCCGTGCTTGGGATATAGGTCCCATTTCTATTCAAATACACATACATTATAATTTCATTAAATCTCTAATATTTCAAATGTAAACATTCCAAAGTTGTGGCCTGGGGTGGTCTAGCTGTTTAAGCCGCTGCCTCTGGAGCACATGTACGATGTACCGCTGCCAGCATGGGTTCAAATTTGACCGACTGCTTTTTCAGCACTCTCTCACCTACCCTTCTCCTCTGTCGCTCTCTACCCAATAAACATACAAAATACTTTCAAAAATAAAACATTCCAAAGTTGATTAGTATGGTATCTCCTTGACAAATGAATTTGAACTTGGACTACGTTTTGTACATTTTGTTGTCCACCCTGTTTATAGATATCCATAACCTGCATGTCTGCAGGTTATTGAGGGGTAGGTCTAGACTAGTGTCATTGGCTCTGAGTAAGCCTATCGTATGTGGCTATCAATGCCAAGTGATGTTGAACTCCACTTTGCTTTGGAATTTGAACACATTCCGTGTCTCATTCTTTTGTGTCTGAGCTGAGTGAGGCTGCTTCCATTTTATGTATTTCATCCAGTCCTGGGTTCAAACACTATTTGAAATCTTTTTAAAATACCCTTACCGTTTGGTTTAGTCTGCCTGGAGTGCCAGGTTGGTGGAGTTTGCACTTTTGGGACTATTCTATTGGTTCCATTGCACCAGGTAAGCTCAATCGAGCAATATTTGAAATGATTTCAAATAGTTTTTGAACCCAGTTCTAGTCCAATCCAAGGCCCAGACAGTGTCTATCAAAGCCTGATTCCATTCAGATAAATATTTGTTCCCCGTTTCCAGGTCATGTTCTGGTCAGGGTCTGGTTCTTCGGCCTGTCATAGAGTGGCCCAATCCTGTCTCTCTCTCTGTGTCTGTGTGTGTGATTGTCTCTTAGGGGAAACCACATGGTGGATGTGCTATTGGAATATGTGTGAGGGCTTCATTCATCTCTCTTGTCATTTCCTTCTGTCTCAATCCTCCTTGACGATATTATTGTTCATTGCTCAATATAAGAATCTGTTGGCGGAACACAGTTGACATTTACTTGGTAGAAGTGGTTGGACAAGTTAAGTATAACCTTGATGCTATAGTATGGAAGGCTACACTCCCTTTCACTTTACTCATCAAGATCGTATCTCATTGTTCAGCGACAATGACAAATCTTTGTCTCCCTCCTCCACTCCATTTCACTTGTCTTCTTCTTCCTCTTGAAGATATGTATCAGGTTTGTTCTTCAAAAGTCTGGTTCCTGTCAAGGTTTCTTCCTGTACTCACAACCTATCACCTGACAGACTGTGTATTGAAACAGGTGAGGATATTTTGTTTACCTCTGCCCCTAAGCAGAAGCCTCCAAGGAATGTCTCATTTTGATGATGTCAGACTGTTTAATCATGCAGGTACACGCATGTGACAGGCAGCTGGTCATAACGTTGGCCTGTGTCAGTTCATTAGTTATTAGTGGATATTTCCCTGAGCACTCTAATATTATATTTATAACCAAACTTAGTGATTTTCCATTGTCTCAGGTATTGTGTCCCAAATGGCAACCTATTCCCTATATAGTGCACTACTTTTGACCAGGGCACATAGGGCTCTGGCCAAAAGTAGTGCACTATAAAGGAGATAGGATGCCATTTGGGACACATCCATTGCCTTGCTATGGCCATGTGTTGACATCACGTACCTGAAAGGATTTAGTACCAAAACCCAAAGAGCTCGGAAAAGCTTGTATTTTTTCTCAAGCTTCATTAAAAAATAAAGTGACATAATCTCAGTGAAAAGAAAGCGGAAAGTGAAAATGAAATATTTTGGCCATCAGTCATAACCTTTTCAGACGGATGGAAGGATATTTGCTTGGGGTGTGTCCAAAATGGCGCATAATTCCCTATAGTGCATTACTTCTGACCACAGCCTTATGGGCCCCTTTGGCCCTGGTCAACAGTAGTACACTGCCCTTACAGAAAAATCACATGATTTCACGTGGAAAATCACGAGTTGGAACACTTCACATGTAGTTTCATGTTATCACGTTGCTTTACATGTCACCTGTTACCACATTAACTTAACATAAAATGACGTGATCACATGAAAATGTGTTTTTGTGTTCGCATATGAAATTAATGTTGTTTTTCCATAAGGATGTATAGAGGATAGGGTGCCATTTGGGACGAAGCCTCGCTCTATTTGCTAAGGATTTGTTCTATATAGACATTGGCCTCATTACAAGTGACCTGTAATGTCCCAACCTCATCCAACTCTTTAAACTGCTCCCTAATGGGTCACAAACCAGAATTGAGTATTGTGGCTCAGTAGAGGAGGATCTGTGTGACTGGCGTAGCATTATTTGAGCTTAACATTTACATTTACGGGTATTTCACAAGGGGAAAATAGATATATTTTTAATTGTCCATGTCGGCTCAATGCCTGGCCCTTGTCCGGAGCCAAAAAGTGTACAAAAAATTAATAATAACCTGGCAGTAATGGATATTATCTTATGTATACTGAACAAAAAT